TAATGTGTGGTAATACTCAAATTGATAGTTGGCAGGCTCGCTCGATGATCGGAAAGCTGAGTGAACAGGATCCAGAAACTGGTCAAACTGGTTACAACAAGCAATTTACAGTAATAAATACAGATAAAAAACCCAAATTTTTCATTACTTCTATCAGGTATTGGAGCAGGTAACTCAAAAACCAGATGAAGTGACACATAATATTGCATCACAGAATAAAGACAAAAACAGATCAACTCAATTCCTACCTCGTAAGAAAAAAAGAGACAAAAAATATAGATAATGAAGATATACTTTAATAAATTATTAACGTATTTTTGCCTCTCTCTCTTTCTGTAGCTGATAATCACAGAGTGGTACTTAAAGGACAGCAACCAAACTACATCAATGCAGTTTATGTTGATGTAAGTCCTTATATTCTACAATAGATACCACCTACCTTTAATGTAATTTTTATCATTTTAGAGTTACAAGGAGAGAAAAGCATTCATTATTGCAGAGAGTCCAATGTTTAGCACAGTCAGAAACTTCTGGAAGATGATTGAGGACATAAATGTGACTGCTATTGTAATGCTATGCCAAGAAAAAGAAAATGATGAAGTACTGTGCATAAAGAATAAATTTTTATCATTAGTATTTTATTTCAGGAGGTCTGCTATAAATACTGGCCTACAGAAGCAACTGAAGTGATATTTGGAGAGTACAGCATTAAGTTATTGAATGAAGAGCTTTATGACTTATATACTGAGAGAACCATTGAAATCAAGAACAAGATGAAAGTAGGACTAACATCTAGCATAATTATGCTCATAACATTAAGAACCCTTTATAATGATGGCATACCGTATACCATGAAATTTATGCGACAAAATTTTCTGCAAATCCTGCATTTCTAAGATTTCACAAAATAAATTTTTTTGCAAACAGCTTACAAACTGCACCATGTAGCAATGGAGCTGCAGAATTTTTTGATTTTAATTTTGTGAAAAAACAAAAATTGATAAATTCGCAAAAAAAATTTCGCATAAATTTTATGGTATATGGTAAATAATAATGTGTAATTATTAATATTTTTAGGGTGGCTCCAGGCATAAGGTAGTACAGTATCAGATAACTGGTTGGGAGCCAAATGGAGAAGTGACTTGTCACCAGGCTATACTAATGATATTAGAAGAAATGAATAAAACACAAAGAAGAAGTGGAAACACAAGCATTGTAGTACACTGCAGGTGAGAAAGAAATCTGATTTAAATATTAATTTTAATTTTCTTCTTTATAGTGATACAGTTGGTCGTTCAGCAATGTTTTGTGCAGCTGCTACAACAATTAATAAATGTAAAACTGAAGGAGTCATTGATGTATTTCAAGTACTCAAAAGTCAACGTATTCAAAAACCAGGCAGTGTACAGACTGTTGTAAGTATCAATTATTAATTGAATTGTTTTATTTATTGAAGTACAACTTATATATTTTTGTTATTTTTCTTGATTTTAGGAACAATACAAAGGAATATTTGAAATTGTTCAAATCTACTTGGACTCTTTTATGTTGTACTCAAATTTCTCTTCATAAAATAAACGCTTTAATACTATACACACACAATGTAAATCACTGCTTCATTTTTATTTTATATTTTTACAATGTTGTTTTATTTACAAAGTACCATATTCTTATTGCTATAAATACATTATTGTTCTGTTTCACTTTTTAATCTTTATTCTCGCCACTTGGCATCATTACTATCTGCGCATGCTCAGAACAATATCCCGGTAATAGCTAATGCGCATGCGCACAACTTGCAGCTCCAGCCCCACCCTTGAAACAATGACTCAGTTGCATGAAGCTTCATCTGTGGGAGATCTCCCCTCGCTAGAAGAAGGGCTGAAGGCTGGACTGGACCCAAACGAGCCTGATATACACTGGGGGAGCAGGACGCCACTGCACGTGGCGTGTGCTTCAGGACATAAGAAGATAGTGTACGTATTGCTGCAGGCAGGAGCCTTTCCGGACTCACTCACTAATGTTGGGTGGACTCCAGCTCATTTTGCTGCTGAAGGAGGTAATTCAACTATTAAGAGAGCTAATGCAAGCATGCACACACAGCATTTAATATATTAGAGTTGGTGTTTTTTTTTTGGTTTTTCCTGTAACAAGCATCATGTTCACACCTTAATTTGCACCTCTGGGGTGTAAACAGGAGCCCATGGTGTAAATTAAAAAGTGAAAAATGTGCTCAAATTAGTCTGCCATAAAACTCAAGTAAGTTTAAAATCAATAATTAAAATTGGTCACAAATAGATCAAAATTTACCGATATTTATCTAGCTAAAACAGATTATAATCTATAAAGAATTTACCTGACAATTATCACTGCTTGTCTAAGACTAAGACATTGCCTTATTGATTTACTAAAATTAATACTTAAAACTGCTACATTCTTCCTAGGCCATGCACAGTGTCTACAGTTGCTCATTACTGCTGGATGCAATATCACTGCAACTGATCAATATGGGGATACTGCAAGGACAATAGCAGCAAGACACAATCACCAAGAATGTGTTAAAATGATTGACGAAATTTGAAGTTAAATGAAAAAAAGTGAACAAGAAAAATGAGTGAAAAATGCAACACAAGAATAATCAAAAATACATTGACATAATTATTAATTTTTTTACAAAAATTATAGTTATTATTGTCACCATTAAGTTTTGTATAACTAGAAATTATAATTATTAATATTCAGCAAAAAGTTAACCTACAACATACATGTATAATAATAATAATAATAATAATAATAATAATAATAATAATAATAATAAATTAATAATAATAGTACCATCACCAGCATAAAATAATTATAATAATTAGACTGTATCACAATAAAGAGGTGAGAGAGAGAGGATAAATGAGAAGAAAAAAGAGGAGCTGTTCTAATACTTAAAATTATCATAATTATCAAAAGTATTGACAAACTCAAGAGCTGCTTTATGAATGAACTCATATTGATCCTAGAGAGAGAGAAAGAGAGAGAGAGAGAGAGAGAGAGAGAGAGAGAGAGAGAGAGAGAGAGGGAGGGAGGGAGGGAGGGAGGGAGGGAGGGAGGGAGAGAGAGAGAGAGACATCAAATAGTTACAAAGGACAAACAAGCCAAAGTGTTACAATTACTATGTCAAACGATGTTTCAAAATGTGTTACTCTAAGTCTAATCAATAGTGTGTGTGTGTGTGTGTTACATATAACATACTATATCATTAACAAATCCTGGTCTCTGGATTCGAAGAGTTTTGACGGTCGAAAAGACATCAATGACTTGCTCGGCTTTTAGACGCTCTAGGACAGTAAACATGGCACAGAACGTACCAGTTCTACCTAATCCATCACTGGAAATAGAGAGAAAGAGAGAAAATAAACAAAAAAGTAATAAAATGACGGGTAGAAGAAGAATCAAGTTAAAATTAACAATATTTATTACAAAACAACTCTTAATTTTATCATACGTACATGTACATGCAATTAAATACTTTCATATGAGCTTTTAAAGGGTAGTAACTACCATGCATTTTTGGGGCATTTTTTTATTTGCTTAATATGATTACATGTACATGTACATTACCTGCAGTGAACTGTGATTGGTCCATTGCCCGATTTTCTTTGTATACGGACCACGTCAGCAACAAGATCAATCATTGATGTGGCTTCTTTAGGACAGGAGGTTGAGGGCCAGTTAATGTATTGGAAGTGAGTTATAGTACGAGAATCATCAGGCTAAGAGAAAAAAGGGAATGATAAGAGAAAGGAGTACAATAATTAATACAGATAAAGGAAGCAGTGATAAATAGATACAATAAAGATAGTACCATTAGCTCAAACTTTCTACATTCTCTCCTGGTCAATTGTAATAAAATATCATTCATATGCTACTGGACTCATTGGATACATAACTTACATTTTTGGAATGAGAGAGTTTGAATTTCCTAACAATGTAATCAGGTAGAGCCCTTTCTTCAGGTAGAGCCACAACATTAAATGATCCATACATGTCTTCTTCATTAGGATTAACAGGCCAGTACTGGACTGACTGCTCCTAGAGAAAGAAAGGGAGAGAGAGAGAGAGAGGGAGAGAGAGAGAAGGGGGGAGAGAGAGAGAGGGAAGGAGGAAGAAAATAAAGGATAAATAAAAACGAAGGTAGAAACACAAACAGATGTACATGTAGTTGTTCATGATGTACATCACAAAAGTATTTAAACTAAAAATTGACAGATAAGGAGATGAGTTACTCTACCTCTCCATTCTCCTCAGTGTTTGTTAACATTATTATGATCATTGACTTCATTTCCCAGACCATGCGCCAGAAGTCACCGGCAGTGTTCTTCATTGGACCCTGCGTAGCTATGAACGCTGACCTCTGACGATATCCCTAGAGCAAAATAGAAAACAAGTACAGTACGTGTCAGAGATGAGAGTATAATAGAATAAGTATGGTAGATATGTGTGTGTATAAAGAGAAAAAGAGTGAAGGATGCAGTTATTGTACATGTACATTAGCTTAAAATATAAGTTTTTTCCCTTGTGTGGGACAAATTGTACATGCACTTCAATTTTTAGTAAATTTAAGTGCATGACCATGCATGCCCAAAATAAACATGTGTACGTGTACATGTACATCAATACAGTATTTGAATTAATATCCACTTACATCAACATAGCTGGCACAGATGTAATCGGAGTCATAATTCTTAGTTGATAGAACAACACGATAATCATTAGCTAATGAAAAAATAAACAGATGAGTAAATCAACAACAAAAAAATAAACAAACAAATTAAATAATTAATTGAATGTTTATTAATAATATTTACGTGGTAGATGTTCCTTCACTCTGCTCTTAGCAAGATTATCAGATAACTGGGCAATGGAGCAATCAAAATCATCATCAGTCGGACTAGAAGACTCAAGAGTCTAGCAACAAAAATACAGCAATGAATTAAACATAATATACATGTACATGCAATAAAAGTATTATTATTAATAATGATATTGAATATTTACATATATTAATAAGTATATAGCTAGATATGGTAGACGACATACATGTATACACGTACTAGTTAATGAGTACTAATAAGGACAACAAAGTGTACATGTACATTTATACATGCACATGTATATTTACAATTTTACAGGTGTGATTCTCACCTCAAACTGGCTCTGAAAACCTGTTTTTCCAGAGGAGGGGGCAATCTCTTTGAGTGTTGCTATCTTGGTGGCCATGTGTACGGCTGGTATTGTAGTGTCACGACACATAATAGCTTCAAGTATAGCATGATGGAGGAAATCGTACTGGGACTGTAATGGGGACACAGTGTATGGGGATGGAAGGAGAAATAGAAGATTTAGGAATAAAAAAAAAACAATATTTAAAAGGCAATTTAGTATAGTGTTGGTAGTTTATAAAATTTAATAATTTTTAGTTAAATTAGTATAATTTTTCACATGCTCAATAAATATGTAACTATTAATAAAATAACATAATTTTCTAATCTCTCAAATGAAACGGCAAATGTGCTATTAATACATGCATCACATGTAGTCTGTACATGTACATGTACACGTGTACTTACGGCAGTTTGGACCATGTAGTTCCTACAGAAACGCATCCCGCGAACGAAATTAAAAATGTCTACGATTCCTTCGGCATCAATCTTCATGATCATAGTATCAATAGTAATGAAGGTACCAGTTCTACCAACACCAGCACTAGAAATAAAAACAAATAAATAAACAATAAACAAATAAATTAACAAAATTTTGTGCTAATTCTGATCAAATTTGGATTTTTTACAAATTTTTAAAGTTGCTCAAAAATCAGGTCAAAGTCCCTGTACTATAGTACACAGTCCAGGCCAAATTTCACCAAAATTGAAAAGACAAGAATTCTCCATTTATATAGTTTTTCCTGATACATATACATGTACTTATGCTGCGTAGAAAGTTTAAGCCGATTTGGATCAAATTTGGAATTTTTTACGAATTTTTAAAGTTGCTCCAAAATCAGGTCAAAGTCAATGTACTATAGTAGGCCAAATTTCACGAAAATTGAAAAGACAAGATTTTTCCATTTTTATATTTTTTCCTGATACATATACATGTACTTATGCTGCATAGAAAGTTTAAGCTGATTTGGGTCAAATTTGGATTTTTTACGAATTTTTAAATTTGCTAAAAAATCAGGCCAAAGTCCCTGTACTATAGTACACAGTCTCAGGCAAAATTTCGCCAAAATTGAAAAGACAAGAATTCACCATTTTAATATTTTTTCCTGATACATATACATGTACTTATGCTGCATAGAAAGTTTAAGCTGATTCGGATCAAATTTCAATTTTTTTACAAATTTTTAAAGTGCTAAAAAATCAGGTCAAAGTCCCTGTACTATAGTACACGGTCTCAGGCCAAATTTCGCCAATACTGAAAAAATAAGAATTCTCCATTTTTATATTATTCCCTGATACGTATACTTGTATTTATGTTGCGTAGAAAGTTTGAACTAATTCCGAACCAAATCGGACTTCTTAAAAAATTATAAAGTTACTCCATATTGAAGTGAAGTTGAAATTGAAGCCTAGCTGCCTAAGTTCACTTATAAAATCGTGAACATTCGTACAATGAGAAGTACAAGTAATACTTTAAAGTATATTCTACTGGTTTCTCTACCTGCAGTGTACCACCATTGGTCCTGGTTTCCCTTTGTGATGGTTCCTCACTCTTTTCTGAAAGCTCAAAAGAGGCGTGGCATACTGTGGTACTCCGTGATCAGGCCACACTAAGAAATGATACTGACGGACCTCCTTAATGGGACCTTGACCATGTAACTGGGGAATAACAATAAAAATATAAATTATAAAAATGCATAAATAAAATAAAGTTTTATTTATGCACATAATAAACAACAATTTCTTTAATAGCGTCATGTACATGTACAGGTACATGCATGTACATGTAAATTTACGTAAAATATGTACACGTAAATCATACATGTAAATACAGTTAATACACACATGGAAATAAATTCTATTATACATACAGTAATATTATCATAATTGTGGGGTATTTTTGTGAGTAGGTAAAATGTACTATTTTTGTTATAAGAGCATAAAACATCAATTCCTTCAATATAGTGACATGTACATGTACATGTATACCAGTAAATACATGTATAAGTACATGTACATTTAATTCCCTCTCTCTCTCTTACAGATTGTAGTTGGAATGTTCTAATTGCATAGTCGGCCACAGTCTCAACCTCCTTCAGTGTCACTTGGAAGCTACCGTAATTAGCTGCTCCAAAGGAAGGCCAGTACTGATGACACTTTATCTATTGAAAATAAATAAAATAATACTAGTGTATTCTATATGTCCATTCTATAAAAGACTAATATTAGTTGGTAAGAAATGAACTTTTTTGAAGAATACATGTACATGTAGCTAATGTACATGCATTGTAAATGCAATAAAATTTTGACTACAAGTACATGTACAGTTTGTATTTTCTTAATCTATATATTCCTCTCTCTCTCTCTCTCTCTTTCTTCCTCTCTCTCTCTCTTTTTTTCTCTCCCTTCTTTTCTACCTTATCATCTTCCTTGAGGTTGGTAACCATTATGATGGTGGGTACATTGTACTCCCATATCATCCTCCAGAAGTCAGGGAAGGCAGCTGGTATGGGACCCTGAGTAGCTATATAGTCCTTGGGAGAATTAAGACCCTAACAAGAGAAGAAGATACAAAAAATATCAATAAAAATAAAAGTTGATTTAAAAAAATAATAATTATGTCTACATTATTCTAAATACAGAGTATCTATTTTCTTACTCCAATGAATGAGGCATTGATATAGTCAGATCCTGGATTGCCATCAGGTTTAAGAGTAACACGAGAATGATCATCTGTTAACAAAACGTGTTAATAAATCAGAGAAGTATCAATATCAATATTAAAAAAACATAAATAAAATTTATGCACAATGTAGTGAATTTATACACAATGTTGTTGAATGCAGGCTGTTGACCGATATCAGTGTCAATCAATATTAGTATTAATTAATATCAAGTTTTAATCAAAATCAGTGTTAATCAATATCAGTGATCATTTAGTCTTACATGGTATTATGTTAACGTATCTATTCTTGCCATGATTGATCGGGAGTTTAGCAGCATACGAGGTGAAATTCCACTCTAACTCAATATCCTAAAGAAAATTTGAAGAATAACGACAATTATAAAAAACCAAAATTATTTATAGCATTAAAAATAAAAGCATGCTAAGTGAGCTAAAAAGATGAAGCAACTTTAAAAATTCATTAAAAAATTCAATTTTGATTGGAATCAGCTCAAACTTTCTACGCAACATAAGTAAGTTGAAAATAACTGATTGTAAAAAGTTTGAATATGACTTAACACTCACTGGATATTCCTCTTCAAGCCTGTCGCTGTTGTTAGATTGGAGTAGAGCCATCATCTCAATAAAGTCACTCACATTCAATGGAGGATGATTAGGATCAGCTAATGAAGGGAGAGAGAGAGAGAGGCAATTTAAAGTTTATTATTAATTAAGTACAACAACTATGTATATGGACATGCATAAACAGGCTACATAGATTTAAGACTGTTTTATAAAGCTAATAATGATAAAATCATGTGATTTGTGATACATGTACATGTTAATTAAGCATCACAAATGTCATATATTAAGAATTATATTTACAGAAATTTTTGCTAAGGAAACACAAAATTGAACATAATCAATCCGAAGGTAAAGATTAAAATTTAAAAAAGATAATACATAAATAGAAACTAAAAATTGTACACTAATTTAATACATGTACATGTATACATACTTTGTTGTACATGTACATGTACACTCACACTGATACATTACTGAATCAACTTACATTCAGGAGGGCTAGGAGAGACTACAGTAACACGAACAGTCTCCTCTACAACTCCAATATTATTAGTAGCCCTCACTATAAAGTGTCCCTGATCCTTTAGCTTTGTGTTAGTAATATACAGCGAGCCGTCATTGAATTGCACATAATCGGGCTCTTCTAAGATCATACCCTCCTTGTGCCAGCTGATGGTAGGGGCTGGTGTGCCAGTTGACTCACACATTAGTACAGT